ATTAGTCCATATTGAAAAACTTGGAAGTATTTACTATTTACCAACCATAACTGTGTTCTACTCTTGTATATTATCTCATGTGAGGAAAATAAAAAAATAAAAAATAAAAAAATGGACAAGAACAACTCATATAATTGATATCCTGTCGTCTAATCTCTTTACTGCTTAAAAACCCAACCCAGACATCACCAACAGGGTTGGTTCAAGTGGTAAGCAATTCGATGTCGCTTAAGCAAGATTTCGAGTTTGAGTCTTTGTGGATGTAAAAAACCTTGTTGGGAGACTCACCCACCACTGCCAGGTGTGCGACGCGGGTCGACCAACGAATTAGTCGGAGCATAGCTTTTGATACCGTGGCTGGCTACCAAAAAAAATTAAAAAAACCAAGACATCACAAAATTCTTCATAAAATCCCTATTTAGTTTCTTTTTACACACACAATTAATCACCCCCAAATTTCCACCCAAAACAGTGTGTGTACATCATGGATCCTCCACCACCACCACCACCAGCAGTAGCAGTAGTACCCAAACCTCCAAGGTACAACTCCTCACAGCACAATCCCGTCTTCACGGCCACCACCGTCTCGGACAAATCCCCTCTCAATATCCAATCCTTTCCGCAGTCCAAAAATCCAAACTATGATGACTTATCCTTCTCATCTTACGTCAAGCCCAAGGAGAAAGCCGATGAGGAGCCCGAGATAAGCATTTTCGACGCCCAGAAATATTTCTGCGAAATTAACGACAATAATAATAATAAGAATCTTAATCAAGATCCGAGGTTGTCGTCGGTTTCCTCCGAGGGGTACGGCCGGAATTTTCGAACGGGGTCTTTCAACGCGACCCCGACTGCCTCGTCGGAGGCCAGCTGGAACAGCCAGACGGGCCTGTTGGCCAACCCGCCGGGATCCGCGGCGGTCAACGTCAAAAAGTCGGCCGCCTCTGGAGATCATGGTCTCCAGAGGAAGAGCTCCGGCAAGAAGTGGATCTTCGGGCGCAGGTGCTGCTGCACCGGAAAGAAATCGGTTCG